ATGCCCTTGCTAGTCCGACCGCGCGCCCTGGTCGTCCGCGCCCTGCCCGTCCACGCACTCTGCTCGTCCGCCCTTCGCGTCCCCGCCCTACCCATCACCTTCGACCTTTCTGAGACACTAGTATTCGCATTCTCCTCTGCTCCCTCCGCTTTCATCCCTACCACGTATGAGGAGGCCATGGCTTGCCCCGACGCCCCACTCTGGCTCGCCGCCATTATCAAGGAGCTAGAGGCCTTTGTCGCCAACTCCTCCTTCGTTGATGTGCCTCGCCCTCCCTCCTCTACGAACGTGGTGAAAGGGAAGTGGGTGTTTGGCGTCAAACAGCTGCCAGGGGAGCCACCCGTCTATAAGGCTCGATACTGTGCCAAGGGATTCATGCAGCGGTATGGTTTTGACTTCTTCGATACCTTCTCCCCCACTGCCAAGCCTGCTACTGTTCGCGCCGTGCTCGACCTCGCCGCTCGCCTCAATATGGAGATCCACTCGATGGACGTCTCTAACGCTTTCCTCCAAGGCGTCATCCGCGAGCTTATCTACATGGAGCGTCCAGCCCGTTACCTTCCTTTCCCTGGAGACTCTGTCTGGCAGCTGCATCGCCCTGTGTATGGGCTTCGACAGGCCACGAGGGAGTGGCATGCTAAACTTGCCGCCAACCTTGCTGAACTTGGGTTCCGCACCTCCCGCTCTGACGCCAGCCTCTTCCTCCGCACCTGCCCCTCCCTGTTCTACATCCTTGTGTATGTCGATGACATGATTCTGCTCACTGTCGACCTTGGCGAATTGGAGCGTGTTAAGGCTGAGTTGGGCAGCCGACTCAAGTGCAAGGACTTGGGCGAGCTGCAGCATTACCTGGGCATGACCATCACCCGCGACCGCTCCGCCCGCACCATCTCTCTCTCCCAGGGTCTTTACTTGCAACAGGTCTTGGAGCGGTTTGACATGGTCCGCGGTGGCGCCCAACCTACTCGTCTTTCTGTCAGGCACCACCTTTCTCTTCCCACCTCCCCCTCAGCCTCCTCCCATCCTTATCCCGAGCTCATCGGCTCCCTCATGTACGCCATGGTCTCCACTCGCCCTGACCTTGCCTACCCCATCAGCGTCCTCGCTCGTTTTGTTGGCGCAGGCAAGAATACGGAAGAGCACTGGCAGGCCGCCAAGCGTGTCCTCCGGTACCTTCGTGGCACCAAGGACTACGTCCTTACCCTTGGCGGCCCCTCCCCACATCTCCTCACCTGACTACCTTTTCCTCCAAACCCCCTCAGGTCGTCTATTCCGCAGTAGGGATGTGGTCTTTGATGAGTCCACTCCCTACTACTCCTCTTCCCCATCCACTGACCCACTCCCTCGTCTTCCCCGTCCCCTTATCTGGTCTGACACCACCCCTCCCCCACTACTTCCTCCTCCCCCCATCCTCCCTCCCCATCCCACGGTGCCCCTCCCTCGTCTGGTGATATATTTGACCCGGAACCTCTGTCCTCTCCCGTCTCCCCCACACATTCCTCTCCTAGTGCCCCTCCCGCCCCTCCTTCACCTCCCTCGCTGCTGACTCGTCCTTCCCCCCCTCCCCGCACCGTACTTACCTGGTACCCCCATACCAGGTCACGTGACAGTATCCTTGGTGCACCGCCCTCTGTTACCCTCTCTACCTCTACCCTGCCCCCACTCTCCCCTCTCCTTCACCCTTTCTTCCAGGCTGTTCTGCATCAACCTCCTCCTGCAGCAGCCCCCTCTGCCACCTCTCCAGCAGCGGCGCCAGAAGCAGCGTGCGCAACGGCACCCGCAGCGGCACCAGCAGCAGGACCAGCAGCGGCACCTGCAGCAGGACCAGCAGCGGCACCAGCAGCGGGACCAGCAGCGGCACCAGCAGCGGCACTAGCAGCGGCACCAGCAGCGGCACCAGCAGCGGCACCAGCAGCGGCACCAGCAGCAGCACCAGCAGCGGCACGTGCAGCGGCACCAGCGGCACCAACGGTCATCCGCTCCTTCCACACCTCCCTCTCTAAGGACTCACATGAGGAGTTCCTTGACCTCCATCTCTGTGACCCTTCCCTTCTACCATTCACCTCACCAAAGATGCTGTGTTTCACAGGCGCTCCAAGCACATTGAGCTCCGTCATTTCTTCATTCGCGATCTTGTTCAGGCGGGGCACCTTCGCCTCGACAAGGTTGACTCGGCGGCCAACCTTGCCGACATCTTCACAAAAGCTCTTCCTCATGCCGCTCAGTCTTCCCTACTTCGTCTTCTTGGCCTCACTCCTCCTAAGTTGCCTCCCGCCTCTTGATTCTAGCCTTCTAGACTTATGCATGTTGGGGGGTTGTGTTGTAATTTCATATTTCATACAACATACATAGGCTAGAAGTAGATCAATAGCACACTTATAAATTGGGGGGCTGTTAAGTGTACCCTCCAACCACACACACATTTGTGGTTGGTTGGGATTGGTCCTTAGCTCAACCAATCCCAACCAACACACATTTGTGGTTGCTTGGGTCACAAGCAAGCTCACCCATTGGCCAACTTATTGGCCAATAGGGTAAGCTTCCCTCTCATCTCTCTCTTGCTCATTGTTTGTACTAAAGAGCCTCTTGGCTCATTATTCAATGTATCAATTCTCTCTCTTCTAACAGAGTTCATACGCTGCGTAATTTTCTAATATTCGCCAATTTTAGCTCGGGCTGACCAGAAAAAGAAGTTGAGTTCGTGATCCGGCGAACTCAAATTTGAGTCTCAAAAGTCAGATCTGAGTTCGGGACAGCAAATGCAACCTCAGATCTGAATTTCGAGATTGTTTGGTGGATCATCCCCTCCTATCCACTGCTCAACAACCCACTCCAACCCCATCAAATACCAATCCTTTCCAATTTGTTGCCAAATTTAACCAGACTCATCCTCCTCATTCAATGTGAAGTCGTTTTTCCCAACCCTAACTTCTGCATTCGAATTTTTCCTCCCCTTTTTATTTCACTTGCGACGATGACCTACTACAGCAGCAGTCAGGTAGTGGACTGCTACAGCAGCTCCCGTTTCCATCTCTTGACCTAGCATCTCCAACCTGTCCGGAAAAAAAAAAAACACCTGCCCGGGCAAGCGGATTCTTGTGCGTACCAGACCCCTCTCGGCCAGCGTACTGCGTATAAATGCTAGCATTTATACAAAAGCGTACTAAACACGAAACGCGTTATTTCCAACGTAGGTTCGGTTCAACACACACACATGTTTGAATGCATTCGCGTCAAACGTGTTCAACTTCGATTGTTACTCATGACTACTCAAGTTAGGTCAGGACTGTGGGAAAGTTGCCAGATTTGGTGTGGTTGTAACACGAAGGGGGGGGGGTCATGCAATGCAAACCCGATGGTGACCCAGTGCGACCAGACCATATATCTGGCTATATGCCCATACATATGTCGAATATCAAAATGAAAGACAGCAGATGCAAACTGACGAAGAATCCATGGAGGACGAAGAAAAGCTCGGGCGAAGGGGAGAAAGAATTATGAGGGGGAGAGAGCAAGGTTAATGACTTCAGCGAGTTTTCAACTCCACGAATAGAGTTCTCTCTAAGTGTCACCACTCATTGTGCGTGCCTAGCCCTAGCCTTAAAGGAGGTGCTCTATACAAATAAGCGAGCTGAGGAAGCATCAGTATGCCACCGTGAATGGAGCTTGTCAACATGTTGTTTGATAGAGACCTGTGTGGGCGTGGTATGGGTTTGGGCGGAATAAGTGTTGAGATCAGAAAAGAGGGCATGTCACGCGGAGGAGTTTTGCGGTATTCAGCCTGGCTTGGCTGCCAATGGCGTGGCCATAAACGTTATGATTACCAAAAAGTCCTTGTTTTCTAGCTTGCTTTTGGCAGCATCTAAGTTTATGCGACCTTTGATCATGCAACAACAGGCTAAAGAGGTGTTTCGCACAGATAAGTGAGCCGGGTAAGCTCCGCGAGGGTACCGGCAATTGATCCGGTCAAAGAGTTGTATGAAAGAGACCTGTGTGTGCGTGGTACAGTTTTGGGTGGATTGGATTATGTGAGAACAAGAGAATAGACTGCATAACTGGGGGACAGCAAGCGCACAAGGTGGACCTAATGGGGGATGAGACGAGCATGTGTGGTGTGATGCCGTTACGTGCATCAAATGTGCATATTACCGAGCCTAACCGTTTCGAAAACGAACCAATTTCTGGCCGCCCAGTTCGGGGTTCGTTAATTCATATACCGATCCGAACGGGTTTAGTTTTGCACATGAATTTTGCCTGGACGCATGTCCTCCGGCTGGAATTTCCAAAGTTTTTGTTTCCAACAAAGCCCAGATCTACTCACAAAAACAAAATTATCAAGCCCTAACTGGAGCCAGTCAATATATAATATAGAATCGGCCAATTTCTAGCAATGTTCATGGAAACCACTGTAATAAGGTCACCTATGAACTCGTGACGGTTACGACAGGAAACCCTACCGAATACTTCAATCCGATATTTAGGGTAGACCAATCCTAAGTTGGAATATACGCTACTTTCATTTTGCGTTTTGCGTTAATGCTCTTATCGAATTCGTACGCTGCGTATAATTTGAAAATTCGCCGAGTTGAATTTCGGGCAGACCGAAAAAAAAAAAAACCAAATTTCAATCTGAAGCTCGTGATGTGGCGATCTCGTTTCCGAGTCTCAAATGTCGCGAAACGACCTCAAATTTTGAATTTCGAGCTCCACACCTCATCAGCCCCTCCCCTCCACCGTTTCACACCCCTTTTAACCACAACATTCCACCATCCCCTCCAACTGCTACTTTACTGGTTGGGAGCTCAACCCAACCCAATCTCCCAGGCATAAAGAGAGGCATTTGTTCACTCGATATTCATTCTCTCGCTTCTTAGTCTAGCTACCTCCCCTCCCAAGCCATCATGGCTTCTACTCCTACAGCAACAACTTCTTGTTCGCCACCCTCAGAGGCTCCTGGTAGTTCCGCTGGAGGGACCTCATCTGTTACGGCTTTGGTCTGCATGGGCAGCAAGCACGCAGTCTACTGCCACTTCAAGGTGCCGGCCGAAAGCGTGGGGGAGAACGGCACCAAGGTGTGTGCCTACTGCAACTTCAAGTTTGTTGGTGGGACGTACCGCTGCGCGCAGCATATCACCAGCTGGCAGGGCATGCGCCGTCGTGAAGTGCATCTCTGCACTGAAGCGCCGAAGACTGCACGGGACGCCGTGAAGGCGGTTTACGAGAACAAGTTCAAGGCCCGTGAAGCGAAGCGTGCGGCTGAAATTGCGGCGGTCGGCGCAGTCAATGGCGGTGGTTCCGACAAGAAGAAGACGCGGTTGACCGACTTCTACGGCGACAACGCCGCGTGCGCGAAGCAAGCTGCAGGACGAGGCGCTTTGCCTGCTCTTCGCCGCTCTTCATATCCCGGAGCATCACGCGGACCACCCACTCTGGCGGAATGCAGTCTCCTGCATAGCGCGCGCAGGGACGGGTTACGTGCCGCCGAAGAGACGCTACATCGGTGGAGCTGGTCTTGCAAAGTGTCGCCAGCGCATTGAGGCGGCACTCGGTCCGATCGCTGAAAGCTAGCGCCGTGACGGCGTCACCGTTGCAAGCGACATGTTCTCTGACAAGGCCGGCCGCCCGCAATCCAATGTGCTCCTCATCAACGATAGCGGAGCCGTGTTCGTGGAGTCGATCAACACCAAGATGGAGATGAAGACCGGCGGCTACATCGCGAGCATCTTGCGTCCCGTCATCGAGAAGGTTGGCCCCGAGAATGTCGTCGCCTTGTGTTTTGACGGCGGCTCCAATTACGCGGCGGCTTGCAGGGAGTTGATGACGGAGTATCCCCACATCGAACACATCCCATGCGTGACCCATGTCCTTGATCTCTTGATGGAGGACATTGGAAAAATGGGATGGGCGAAGGAAGTCGTCACGCGCGGGGACAACCTCATCTCCTTCGTCCGCAACCATCACTTTACCCGCGGATACATGCGGAGCAAGCTCATGAACAGCGGCAAGGGGAAGCAGGCTCTCAAGCCCGTGGGAACCCGATTCGGCACCAACTACATCGCCATCAACCGCCTCTGTGAAGTGCGCGCCGGCCTGGCGCGGATGGTCGTCAGCGATGAGTGGCACGACTGGACAATGACTACAAAGAGGGTAGGGGCAGATACCTTCAAAGTCAACATCCTCGATGACACGTGGTGGACGCGCGCCGAGTTCTTCGCGAAACTGATGAATCTGCCGTTCGTCATCATGCGCAAGACGGACTCGGACGCGAAGGGCATGATGGGTCGTCTCTACGACCTCATGCTCCAGCTCACCGAGGACATCCGCGACTTCCTCGGCGAGCATGCGGAAGGGGTCCTGACAAGCGGAGAGGTGGGGGATATTCGGGAAATCGTGCAGGACCGCTGGGACAACGGGCTGGCATGCGACATGCACGTGGTTGGCCGCATCCTCAACCCGACCAACCAGGAAGAGGGCATCTTCGGCCATGACCTCGAGTGCACGAAAGTCTTCAAGAAGTTCGTGTCCAAGCACTTCGACGACCAGACCATCACCAGGAAGGACGGGGTCGAGCGCCGCGCCTCCCTCGTCATCCAGGAAGGCCTCACTGCCTTCCTAAACCTGACGGGCTGCTTCGGCATGCCCGACGCTATTGCCGATCGTGTGGCAGTGAAGGAGGGCAAGATGACCGCGGTGGCATGGTGGTCGTGGCACGGGACCGAACATCCCGAGCTCACCACGCTTGCTTGCCGCATGCTCACGCAGCCGGTGTCCGCGTCTCCATGCGAGCGGAACTGGGCGAAGTTTGATGCCGTGCATACGGCACGCCGGAACCGTCTCGGCGCGGAGAAGCTTCGGGACCTTGTGTACGTGACGCACAATTGGCAAGTTGTGCACAATTGGCACAAGGTCCCTGAAGGGCAAGGGGTGGTGAAGGGAAACATCGAGGAGCCCCCCACTCTGGCTGGCTACAACGTCGAGGAGGAGGTGGAGGAACCTGAGGAAGGGGAGGATGATGTGATGGACGTTGAGTACTAGTGGATGGAAGGCTCCATGCATGAGCGGCTAGCAGGGGATGAAGGGTGGATCTGTGTAGAGTAGGGGGAGGGGTGGTAGTAGCATGATTAAGGTGGGTGGGGGAAGTTGTAGTGGGAAATTAGTTTCAAGGGTCTTTTTTCCTGTAACTTTCATATTAATAAAAAGGGGATGGGGGTTACAACAACCCCCATCCCCATCTCTTACCCCAAAAATCTGCCCGGGGAAAACTTTTTCCCTGCCCGGGCAAGCGTATTCTTATGCGTACCAGGCCCCCCATGGCCCGCGTTTTGTGTTTATACTCTAGCGTTTGTACAAAATCGTACAAAACGCAAAACGCGTTTTTTCCAACTTAGGACCAATCTCATCTCCGATTTAGGTGTTAGGCTAGGTAGGGTTTCCCGCCCTCCAAATGCAATCTGCATCCCATCCTTAGACCGATGGGCAGACATGACTGCCTCCCACCCTATGATCCTATGTTCCATGCATAGGCAGACATGGGTGTGGAATCCACCAATCAGAGTGACAGACAGAGGAAATAGTGGTCTTCTGAGTCGGAGGAGCGAAGTTAGTTCAGCCCCCTAATTTAGGCCAACGAGAGCAAGGCAAGGAGACAATGGTGGTGCTCTGGGTAGAAGGGCCGAACTCAATTCAACCCTCTGATTCAGCCGTCGGAGCACTTCAAGAAATCAGTTTGACCTTAAATATTTTGATAAATCAGAGTGAGCCTCGCTTGCTCACGGAGCGAGCTCACAGCTGTTGCGCCACCACTTTTTGAAGTTTTTGAAGGTTGCTGCTCAGGCGAAGTGTTTCGTCACCAGACCGCGCCACCTAAAGGTTGACGTGGCTGTTACCAGCTACAGAAACGAGCTCGTGTTTCAACTCTTGAGCTGGTTGACTGATCGAGAGTCGTGAGTGTAACCACTCACCCTTGTGACACATGTGATGTGACGCCACATACTGATGGGGCGTTCATGCGAGTAATAGCCACGTGGCAAACCACCCTTTGTCAGCAACGTGATTTTTTTAACGGCTCGTTCTTTCAAGAATCAGCTTACGTGATTGGGCATACTCAGCTCGCCAATCAAGCAACAGGTTTATATTTGAACTGCTTTGGACGGGCTAATCTGTATTGTTTAGAATTAAGACATAAAATAAGAAAGAGGCAAACGTGAAAGTGATCGCACTGCGATAGATAGGAACAACTTGCCAGTTTAGAACAGCTAGCCCTAGGGAATATCAGAATTTATACAAAGCTGCATGTCACGAAAAAAACAAAAAACAAAAAACAAAACAAAACAAAAGAAAACCCTATTCACAAGTCTGACTACTCCGAAAAAATGAGGACCACTACTGCAACCCTATTGCTAATTCGACTCTCTTACTACGTACTCGAACTCTTGGATAGGGGTTGAGCTTGATCAGGCACCCAAGGATCTTTAGAGGTGACCCCGAGGAGAAGCTTGGGGCATCAACAAGGCTATTTGTAGCTAGGCTAATGCGCATCAGGAGTAACAGCAGACACAGGTACAGATGAAAGAAATCTGAACCTGGAATAGTCAGCCTTGTTCGGCTGGTAATTCTGTAGCCACATACGTTCTGATTGCCTGAAACTCCTTGTCTTCTTGCTTGAGTGTGGCATCTAGGTTGTGCGGCCAAGACAATTCTTTCGTGAGTTTCTAAGGTCATGTGAATATTTACCATGCATGCTTAGGACGCGTCACAATTGAAATTCCGAGGAAGGATTGGGGGTGTTCACCGTTCTGCCAAATCGTTGGCCACATCGGTGTGCCACGACTGTATATTTGCTTGCAATCGAGGGCCCACCCCAAGTCTAAAGAGACACAAGTGGAAATTCATGGGACAACATTGTCCGATGCGGACATAATTGCACACATCGATTGCCTGACTACGAGGGGAAAAGATCGTTGTCACCAAGCTACTGTACATTCCCGAATGTTGACGAAAACAGAAAACCACCAACAAGCGACGTCGCAAAAGTACTGTAGCGGTGGCACACCGATCCTGCGCAGGATCGATATTCAATTTGCGACGTGTCCTTAGCGCCAGGCTCAAACAAAGAGCTTCATACATATAAGTGAGTTGATTAAGAGTGAAAATGTTAGTGGTAATGTATCCTGTCAAAGCGTTGCTCGAAAGAGATCTGTGTGTGCGTGGTATGGGGTTGGGGAGGAATAAGTGGGGACATGAGATTTGTGGGTTTGGGAATGGATGGACTGAACAACAGCAAGTACACTCGGTCGACCCAATTGAGGGACGAGACGAGAATAGTAGGAGGCAGTCATGAGTAGAAAGAAGAACCGCAGTTTAGTTCGAGGCAAGCAGTTCGACGAATGGCACACCTAGTTGGAAGAATTTGTGGTGTTGTTGAATTAGGGCGGGAAGGGGGATAGGCAGGAAGAGGAGCTGCGGTCGAATCAGCCAATTGCTTGGCCAAATATGTTTTGACTACCCGAAATCCTTGCCTTCTTCCTTGCATGCGGCATCTAGGTTATGTAACTAAGGATGTTAGGTTTTATGATTCAATTCAAACATTTAGAATGCTATTCTACTCCATTAACGAACTTATGATGATCGCCTTGATCTCGCATGTGTAGCACCGGGCAGAAACGAGGTGCTTCATACAGATAACAGAGTTGAGAAAGCTTGGTGACGCTGTTGGGAATGGAGCCCGTCAGTCTGTTGTTTGCAAGATCCCTATGTATGCATGGTATGGGTTGGGGCGGAATAAGTGATGAAACGAGGACGCGTGCAAGTCGGCATGAGCAGGGGGCGAACACGAACATGTTCATGTTCGCCAGGGGCGAACATGTCACCTGGGCGTAGGGATGAGCAATATAACGAACTCCTGTTCGATTATTTTTTGGCCTAAACTGTTCGGTGCGCCCGGTTCAGCTGGCCGAGGCGCGTCCAACACGAACGTGTTCGTGTACGACACGGGCCTTCGACAAACACCAATGTGTTCGTCGACGGATAGGCCCGCGGCCAATATTTAGATCGCGGGCCTTGGTGTATGGGCTCAGATTTGGAATTTTGCCGTTCCTTAAGTGCAGATCGATCATTTCGCCGTTGCTTAAGTGCAGATCGAGCATTTCACCGCTGCTTAAGTGCAGATCTAACATTTCGCCGTTACTTAAGTGCAGGTCGAGCATTTCGCCGTTGCTTAAGTGCAGATCGAGCATTTCGCTGTTGCTTAAGTGCAGATCTAGCATTTCGCCGTTGCTTAAGTGCAGATCGAGCATTTCGCCGTCGCTTAAGAGCAGATCTTGCATTTCGCCTGTGCTTAAGTGCAGATCTAGCATTTCGCCGTTGCGTAAGAGCAGATCGAGCATTTGGCCGTTGCTTAAGTGCAGGTCTAGCATTTCACCGTCACACGCTAGCACTAGCATGGATGAAGCAGGGCGGGACTGGCTTGGGGGGTGGGGGGAAGGAATGTGCAACGATTTGAATTTTACTCTATTTGGACCTTACAGCCACCTAACAAATGTCAACAATGCACAATCCACAAACATGTGACTTTAGTGAATGCAGTCCTGGGGCGAACACGAACCTATTTGGGACGCTTCGCGACCCTCGGAACCTCCGCGTAACACCTGGTTACTGGGCCTTGTGTCGAGCCTATATATAGCTTCGTGTTGTACCCAAGTGAGCATTCGATTCAAACTTTCTTTTCTAAGCTCGATCCTAGATCCTCACGTTTGGTAATTAGAGCAGTTTTCACGCGAAGTTTTTTCGACCACTAAAACCGAGTCTTCAGAAAAAACCGCGGGGGCGACGACTGTTAAACACCGATTTCGAATACGTAAAACCGGTTCCGTGTTTTTCACTCCCCCTCGATTTCGGTTTTTCGAACGCGCAATGTCAGGCATGGACGGTCAAGGCGACAACTACGCGACGACGAGCAACATCGCCAGCCTTTGCACCGACGTGGAGCAGACGCAGACGGCGATCAGGCAAATCGAAGCCCTCCTGACAAACCAATCCGCAGCCGCCACCGCAACAGTCAATGCAGCTGCGAACGTAGCAGCGACGGCAGCAGCAGCGGCAGCGACACCGACATTTCACGGACCGATGGCACTACCTTCGCCGAACCTCAAAGTAGCTCGCCCGAGGCTCCCTGAAGCATTCAATCCCAGCGCGAAAGGATCTGACGTTCGACGATTTGTGGCGACCCTCAAAAATTATTTCGAGGTCATTGGCTGTTCGACCTCGACACATGATGAAGCACGGATTCGGCTCGCAGCGACACTGTTGAGGGGACCAGCACTCGAGTGGATTTATTATACTAACGTGGCCCGCGTGGAGAAAACGTGGATGCAGTTACGGGAGGATCTCATCGAACTCTTCGAACCAATCAATTCAGTGTACATGGCGCGGCAGCAGATTCACCGACACAAGCAACACGCGAGTGTGGCACTGTACACGCAGCAGATGGAGCAACTGTTCAATCGAATCACCGACCTGACCGAGGGCAGGAAAATCCTGGCGTACACCGCAGGATTAAAAATGGAGATTCGTCGGCAAGTGATCGCAGCGAACTACGGTCGCTACCGCGACATCATACGGGGAGCAGAAAGGTACGACGCGTTGACGAGGGGTCAACCCGAAACATGACGCTACGGGCCAAACCGTACATTTGGCCCGAGCGATCGGCACCCCCCCGTTCGCCGAACCGATGGAGATCGACAAATTTGACGAGAAGCAGCAACCGACAAAATGCGAATTTTGCGGCGCAGCGGGGCATCAAACTTTGTCGTGCTACAAAATGAAAAAGGCACATGCGGCAATGCTGGGCGGTAACAGTGGAGCACCCCCGAAGTAAAAAGACGGGAATCGCCAGTAGCCACGGATCGACCTGGCGATCGCGTAAAAACCCGAAAAGCGAAAAAGGGCGACGATGTGGCGATTTCGGAGCGGGTGAAAAAAGGAGAAAATGATGGCGCGAATATAAAACGTCACGACCGACCGGCACCAGGGGAAAT